GTCCACGGTGAAAGTTGATGTATTCCCTCAGCGACCTGCACAGATCAGCTCTAGGCATGACGAAGCGGATATCGTCGGATATCTTCACGACATGGCTGCAGCGTCAACAAAACTACAGTGAGACTAAAAGTTACGCCTTCTTTCTTTGCGTGAACATTTGGGCGGCTTTATGCAAATCTTCCCACATAGTGAGGTAGATATGTGAGGGCGTGTTAGAACGAGACGTTTTAGGTAGGTGTGGCTGACTGAACTTTAATAAAGAATATCTCTTTGGATTTGAGACTTTAGTCTTTGCAACTTTACAGATCTTCTTTATGCACCAAGAGCTTGTAACACTCCAAAGAGAAAGGAAAAATTGAATTCGCATCATATGACACCTTTAAGACAAGGAAAGGCAAGGCAAGTTTATTTATATAGCACATTTCATACACAATGGCAGTTCAAAGTGATTTACATAAAAGGAAGTAAAATCATTAAAAAACAATAATAATCGCAACAATAAAATCAATGAATTAAAAAATCTACTGTTAGTGATGTGCTCTTAACACAAACAAACATTCTCAAGCTTTGTTCAACCTCTTCCCTACTAAATGGAAAATCCTCCCAAAATACCTAACTATTCCACTACTTCACCCCCTACTTACTTTGTCCATCATAAACTAAACAAATAGAACTCAGAGGTCCTACTTTCAACTGATTAACCAACAAACTTGTCTTTCTTTGCCCATTCTTTGTACCTCCTTCACAGCACTTGCTTTAACCTTCCGTTTAAACTTTTTAAATGATATAAAAATTTATTTAAAATGAATTAAAACAGTTAAGAATATAAAATGATTATAGAATACAGTGCAACCAGTTCGGATGTAGCACAGTGCTCATTCAGTAAATGCACAGCTAAACAGATTAGTTTTGAATGTGATTAATGTTTTAGGCACATCTGATCTCTTCTGGAAGCTGGTTCCAACTGCGGGCAGCATAATAGCTAAAAGTGGACTCCCCTTGTTAACATTAGCTTTCAATATTACATACTGTACCTTTAAAGAAACAGTAGATAATTTTTCTGAAATACATTATACATGTAACTGCAGCTACACACAGATGAAGTGGCACAGGAACTGATGTAATGAGGTCAAAGGTGTATGTTTGTGGAGTATCAAAATCAAACATGGATATTTATTTCATAATTTATTAAGACTACACCATGACAAGGGAAGTTATAGTAATGTTAAAGGTAGGGTAGGCGATTTTGGAAAGGCTAGCAATAGCAAGTTAGCTTTGAAAGCAAGATCCCCACCCTCCCTGCGTAATCACTCGGCAAAGCCATGCCTCCCCCAAAACACATGAACGCGCTCAGGCAGAGCAGAGAATAACATGCGATATGATGAGAGACGGCATTTGTGGAAGAGTGAGTGCAACGCTATCAGATTACTTCATGTCTCATTCACCAGTGACAAAACATTACAGTACAAAGCACATAATATTACAATAATAGCGCCTTTCATTCTCGCTGGAACATGTTGATGATGTATCATGTCTGCGCAAACAGGGTGTGCAGTGATATGCAAATACATATTTGACAAGCAGGTCAGACAGCCTATCGTAATCTTCGGACCGAACATTTTGATTGGATGAACATTTTATGGTCCTATGCTTTCCATAGACGATATCAATGCATATAAATAAGCCTTTCTGAAACCAGTCTGGTTTCAGAAGTGGACATTCAACCGAGACTGCCTTGCTCTCAGTTGTTTGCTGCCCTAAGACTGGTAAGAGCGGATTCCTAATCTTCAATACTTATCTTGCTGGATCTGTCCGCTGCTTTTGACACGGTTAACCATCAGATCCTCCTGTCAACCCTATTGGCAAAGAGCATCTCAGGAACTACACTCCAGTGGTTTGAGTCTTACCTCTAAGATAAGTCCTTCAAGGTGTCTTGGAGAGGTGAGGTGTCCAAGTCGCAACATCGAACTACTGGGGTGCCTCAGGGCTCAGTTCTTGGACCACATCTCTAGGTTATGTCATTCAGAAACATGGCTTTTCATTTCACTGCTATGCTGATGACACTCAAATCTACCTCTCATTCCATCCTGATGATCCAATGATCATCAGACATTTCTAACAGACTAATGTCTAACAGACATTTCTTGCTGGATGAAGGACCATTCAACTCAACTTTGCCAAGACAGAACTGCTTGTGGTTCCATCAAACTCATAGTTTCATCACAATTTCATCATCCATTTAGGCACATCAACCATTATTCTTTCAAAAACAGCCAGAAACCTTGGAGTTGTGATTGATGATCAGCTGACTTTCTCAGACCACATTGCTAAAACTACCCGGTCCTGCAGATTTGCTTTATTCAACATCAAGAAGATCAGGAACTTTCTTTCACACCTCTATTTATCAATTTGCACTGGCTACCAATAGCTGCTCGCATAAAATTCAAACCATTAATGTTTGCCTACAAAACCATCACTGGCTCTGCACACCTTTACCTAAATTCATCACTTCAGACTTATGTGCCCCCTATAAGTTTGCGTTCTGCAAGTGAACGGCGCATTATTGTCATCGCAAAATCACTTTCACAAACTTTTACTTTAAATGTTCCCTCCTGGTGGAATGAACTCAATCCAAGCAGCTGAGTCCTTAGCCATCTTCAAGAATTGGCTAATAACACATCTCTTCCATCTTTATTTGACCCTCTAACTCTAGCACTCTCTATTCTAATTCTATTCTTGAAAAAAATTGTCCCTATTTAGACTTACACTCTATTAATTTACTAAATGCTTGTTTTCTTTAAAAAAAACTAACACTAGCTTCTCTATTCTTTTTGTATTCTATCTATTTGTTTTCTTTTCATTTATTATACAATTAACAAAAACCAAAAAGGCATCTAACACTAGCTTGCTCTATTCTTTTTCTATTATATCTGTTTTCTTTTTATTTATTATATAATAAAAAAAAACCTTACTATGTGTACTGCGTTAGGCCAAATGAGACTTGTCATAGCACTTGCATATCATTGCTCTTTTGTTGATTTTGATTGCTTCCATTGTCCTCATTTGTAAGTTGCTTTAGATAAAAGCGTCTGCTAAATTAATAAATGTATATGTAAATATAAATTAATTTAGACCACTTAACTTAGTGATTGCTATCAGGATGTGAAGAGACTTTCGACCATCATAACAAAAAATGTTTCTGAACCAGATCACCTTCCCTGCCTTTAATAGCTATTTGTCTGGGATCATAAGGTAATGGTATATAAAATTAAATTATTTATATATATTTTCAGAAAATGATAAATACAACAGATTTATCACAAAATTACGACATTGTCTGCTGATTGTAATTTATTCTAATTGTTGGATTCAGTAGGACACAGTTATTTGATGTGTTAAAAACTAGATTGCTATAATTATAGGGTAATAGGAATAATTTATCATATTAATTAATCCGTTTTATACAGAATTTATGAACAGTACCATCTCACCAAAACAAGCAACATGTAATGTTGAAGATTATTCTGCAGACTGAGAGTTTATTCAGTTTACTAAGGCATTTACTCCTCTGACCTCCATTCAAACAGAGCTGCCTCTAATTTCTACCTGTTGGCGTTGAACTAACCTTGAAGGTTCCCCTGAAGGAGGGGCTTTGATGTAATCTGAGGAGAGGCGGTACCTGACGCGTCATGATCAGCTGCTATAATCAGCCTACGCTTGTGGTGATTCCCAGCGTACACGGGTTTATCTCTAGACGTCTCACATCCACTGTACCTCTGAGCGTATTTACATTTTAGCACATCACATTCAGGCGTTAGGACAGAAACAGCACTAGTCCAGTCGGAATCATGTCTGTAGCGGGACTGAAGAAACAATTCCACAAAGCCACTCAGGTAAGGTGCAATGGCATTGAAATTCAATGTTCTGTTGACCATTACACGCGTGAAAATGGGTTTGCTGCAGTGCTACAGCAGACCGAGCAGCTTGTGTCCTGAATCGTAATGCGGATCTTCACGCTGAACAATGTGTGCTGCTTTGAACGCAACGTAATAAGCTGTATAAACATATACATGCACTAACATTGATACCAACAGGCTAGTCAGATCTGTCCATGTCATCCACAATCATTTCATTCAGATGCTAGAATGAATGTATACTCGGTGTTTTTTTTTCCGTGAGGTTTTTATTAGATGTTATTAGCACCGATGAAATTAAAACGCGTGAACATGAATATTTAAGATGCGTTGATGAAAGTTGTTACATAATAGCTCATACCCTTAAATGGACCTCAGTGCCCTCTAAAGCAGTCGTGATGTTTTGACACTTCAATTCCATGATGCTCTAAGCCACTACATAGGCTTTAGTCTCCAATATTGTAATGCATTTACATTTTTGATTTCTATTTTATTAGTTTTTTTCAATAGCCTAGTATAGTATAATATATTTTTACCTATTTTTAATATTTTCAAGTTAATGTTTCAGTGCATTGCCTATTGGACCTCGAACCATATATATTCTGTCTTAAAGAAATGTAAGTTTTATATATTTTATTGATATAAAAATTGTATTTATTTAAGACATGACCGCATTAAACCAGATTTAATAGCTGGTTAAGTATGTTCTGGTGCCATCAGTCACTCCCAGGTCTGTTATGTCCATCTAGTGTCCTTGCATGAAGCTTCACCTTGCATTAATACAGGAATGAACGTTGAACGCTGTTGGTTTGTGCAGAAAAGATGTTGGTGGAATATTCTGTCATTTTAAGGATAGTCTTGAAACCGCAGCATCTGTTGGAACCACTGCTCTCACATGCTAATGGCATGACCCCAGCATCCCATAACTCAAACCTGTTCCTGTTTGATTCCAAAAGAAAATCCAGGAACGAGGCTGAAACAAGGAAGTGGTTGAAAACCCTTGCCTTAACTATTTGTTTTGAAGGGAATATGAAATTCTGTGGGTTGTGGAGCTGGGCTTGCGTCTCACTGCCTGACATTAAACAACATAATCTGAGTCTCATTCTGACCAATCGTCAGGCTCTGACATCATCAGTGCACGCTGTGCAGTGGAGAGGGTGGCATGACTCAGAGCTGCTCTGTAGAACAGATGGTTCCTCAAACACACTGCTTCATCTCACAGCTTGCTGTGTACTTTATACACAACCTTCTTGCAGTCGTGACAAAATATAGTGCCTGCTCTGTGATTAAAATTTTTTTTCCCCCTTATTTACCTTCCTTCAGTTATGTAGAGGCAGGTTTATCCTGTTTTACCTGTGTTATTTGGAAATTTGCTTGTATAGTAAATATTTGCCTATATTTGTTCCACAAGTATGTGGAATTACTAAAATAATGTTCAAAATATAAACAAACACTGCTTAGGCCTTGAGATAGATAATGAGCAGTTCATGTAATATACTCATAATTTATTAGTAAATACTCATCTCAAAATCACGCAAAAATAGTCATTCATAACTGCTCAAGCTTTTTAACACTTGTTTTAGCACATCTCTTTTGCCTTTTTCTTGTCATGGGTGGTAGTTACACAAAAGAGAAATGAGATTTAATGGAAAGTCATGCTCAGCATGGCCATGTATACAGAGATTTTGGTTTGTTGTTTAAAAATAGACATACATTCTATGAGCTTGTAATATAAGTTCTCTATAACTGAGGGTTATTATGAGCTTGCAAATTAAGTTCAGTTGCCATTTGTGTACTAGCTACATTTGTCATTTTATCACATGTAGTGTAAAGGATGTGAAGCAAAAATTAGAGATTATCTTCCTCCCATTTACCATTGGGTATTTGGAGATATTTAAAAAGTGGAATTTGCAAGCTGGCGTCGTCATGAACGAGTTACTCTCGGTGTTACTTCAGTCGTATACAAAACTGTACTTAGAAGTGTAGGCTAGCCTTTTTCTTTAGCTTCTCTATCCCTTGCTTTCTTTGATGCAAGGCACTGCTTATGCACCACAGCGTCTGTCCTAAACACGGATAATATTTTATTCTGCTTTCTCTATTACAAATTCTAGACATTGCTTATTGCAGTGCACTTTCCTGTTTACGTTTTTTGTCAGCTATACTGCATAGTTCATAAAGGTTTTGAAATAATCTTTGACTATGCCTTTGGGTTGATTTTATCTTTATTAAAGAGTGCAAACTGGGATCTTTTAAATATGTTAGATATTTAAATATATGTTACATTTTATATAGAAATATGTTCTCTCTTTTTCTCTCTTATGAGTATTAAATATGTTTTTTCTTTTGATGTATGTTGTATTGGATTACATCCTGTCTTTGGACATCACTGCTAAAATACATATACCAATTTTCCTGATTTGAAAACTATTATAAAACAGGTGAGCTGTCATGTCTACCTACACAGGATTTCTAGGCATCCCTGGGCAGCCCCTGACATGAAGGCTGTCTGAAATTTTAGGAAGCAGATTATACTGCCTCCTAAAATAGTACTTTGAGGATAGACTGCCTTTCTAGTGTTAAACAGGTGATCTTGTATCTAGGATTAAATCAGTACAGTCACTGAAAAAAAGCATTGGATGGACAAAATTAAAGAATGCAGTGCAAGCAAGTTGTCTAGTGTCTATAAAAGGTAGTTGGTGGTCAGACCCTCTCTAGCCTCAGGAGATGGTGGGCAGCAGTGTTCAGGACTAAACTTTTTTTTTTTTTTTTTTACTAAAATGTATATTTAACTAAGTAAATAAATTAAATACATGTTCATGTTAAAAAGTCAAGTTTGAGAGAAATTTAATTTTTCTTGAGTATGTCTTGCATTCATTTAACTAAACACACGCTTCTATTTCAGATTATTTAAGACTCTTCGGACCAAACAATCAGTGAGAGCCTTGGAGCAGAACAAAAGTGTCTCACGTTTTAAAGATTTTAAAACATGAAAACAACAAAGCATGAAATGGTCAAAGACACCCATATAGTGTATGTTCACATAGAAAAGAACTGAAAAGCAGATTTACAAAAAAAAAAAAGTGTGAATGGCTGTTTATTTACTACTGAAAATGTAGCCTTTTGTTTGTTGTTTACTTTATCCAGCAGTGTTTGTTCTCTGTGTTCCTAAGTATATTGATACTGTTTGTTGTACTGACTGAGAAAGTGCTTCAGGTGATACAGTGAGAGTGCGGTCCAAATGAATGTGAATCGATACAGACCATTTTTCAAAACGCTAACCAGTTTGGCTAATTCACTGAAAAGAAGGGACAGACAGAAAAAAAGATTAATTCACAAAAGATTGGCATCACTATTTCAGTCAACAGAAAAGCATACAGTATATAATAACTGTGTAATAAAATGTTTCTCAGGTCAGTCAAGATCACATATGGACGGAGCATCAGCCATACTGCTGCAGGCACCACTGCAACTTAGAATGCTTGGAAATGCCACCAATTTATTCTTATACTACATTAGGCTACACCGTTTGTGATTCTTATAGGTTTTAATTTCTAATAGGGAAATGTACAGGTTTTGTGTCATACCACTGTGCTCAAAAAACATGAACAAAACCATGCAAGCTAAAAAAAAAAAGTATGAAACCACATTGGATTAACTTGAAATGAGGACAAACAAAAACTAGTTTGTGCTGACCACCATGTGCTTTGTGCAGTGTATTTTTGACTGCCTAGAGCATGGAGCCATCAAAATTCCAGAGACATTTAGAAACCATAACAAAAGTATGTCATGTAAATAATTCTGCATATTGTTGGGCCTGTTGCTGCGTTTGATGTTAAGTGTGTTTGTTTACTTTTGTATGATCAGCATTTTGGAACTGTGTTGCATTGCTGTTGATGTCCAATGTAAAATCTAAAGCTAAATAACTTTTAGATTGAATCATTATATTTTAGGAGTAAAGAGAGAAGAACATGTTCCAGACAGTCATGCTTAAAAAATAATAACTTAGAATTAATAGATGTTTGTGAACTGTCAGTACACTGTAAAAAATGACCGTGAATTTAACGGTAAAAGACTGTAAAAATGCTACAGTAAAAACCTGTTAAATGGTTAACGGTAAATTCCCCTACTATATACGGTGAAAAACTGTATTGGACATTACATGTATTGGACATTAATTTTACGGTAGTATACCGTTTTTGGAAGTGAAAAATACTGTATAATTTACAGTGCATAACCGTAAATTGACATTCCCAGAATTCCCTGCGTTACATTTTAAATTTGATGTTTTTTTGTTGAAATAACTGTTTCTTCTTAGTTTTTTCTTATCAGTTTTGTATATTAGGGTTGAGTGTTACACCTAATGTTGTTAAATGAATGTTTATTGCATTATTTCAGTTTCATGTGTGTCCCGTTTTTTTACCGTAAATTTTACGGATTTTTTTTTACAGTGTACCAATGCATTTTAATAGCACTATGTGTACAGGTTTAGACCATTTTCTATTTATCTGTAACACTCTGGACACATTAAAGCCATGTCACTGGTATTTAACTGTAAATTTAAGTTAAAACCGTAAAACCTAAAACGTTGCTACCGTATTTTTTACGGTAAAATTCCGGTAACCACAGCTGCCGTTTTTTTACCATAAATTTTACGGATTTTTTTTTACAGTGTACCAATGCATTTTAATAGCACTATGTGTACAGGTTTAGACCATTTTCTATTTATCTGTCAAGCAGCCTATATGCTTATAGTATTTTTTAGCAGTAATTGATCTGTGTGGCAAATATCTAAATTACATTCTGATCCTAATGGATGCTCAGTTGTTTGGATTTTGTCTGGTTGGAGAAGATTTTTAAGGTATTGTGGTCTAATGCAGTAAATGGATAGAAATACACTAGTTTGTCTTCCAAATTAAAATATCACTAATCTCATCTGCCCCCGGTTTTCTCTTTGAGGTCTTTGTAGATTTCAGGCACGA